CCAGTATGGCAGAGCTGCTGGTTTGGCTCCAAATCTACTCTCCCTTTATCCAGGCAAATGGCTTGACTGTCTATACCAGTCCCTCCCTCTAGTGGAAAGTGACGTGTGAAGTCTGGCGCAATCCTTCCCTTTCCACCAGCAGAAACTCAGAGACCCAGCTTTCACCGAGACGCCACCGCCCAATGGATGGCAGAGCCACAAGATGGAAAGAACAAGGGTCCCTGAACACGGAGAACAGAGTCACCTGCCCTCCAGGGATGCCCACCGCAACCTGGAACATTTACTTCAGGCTGCTACGTGAGAGAAAAACTATTTTCCTTCAGCTACATTATTATTTTGTCAGCCTTATACTGACAAACTTACTCAGGAAGTCTTCCCCAGACCTATACTTCACACTAGGTTAGGTTTCCTAGTAAAGACTCCCATAGCATCCTCTACTATTTAGCACTTACCACACTTGTACTTACTTATTTCATTTATGTATTTAACAAACATATATTGGTCATCTAACATATATTTGTTAGGCACTATTTTAGACATTAGGGTAAAAGTGCTATTCAAGATGGACAAGATCCCTTATTTCCTTGTGTTTACTGTCTATTGGGGAAACACACGCATGCACACACCAAGAAATAGCACTTAATGATAAATACTATGATGAAAACAAAAATGCTAAGAGAGCCAGAGGGAAGGAGAGAGATACCACAGATTTGGTAGTGAATAAAAAGCCTTGTAAGGAGGGAGCAAGTAAGCTGAGAAGTAATTGGCAAGAAGGAGTCCATCCAGTGAAAATGAACCTTTAACGCAAAGCTACATTCTCCGGGTATTTGAAACAAAGTACAGAAGGGCTCAAGTGAGGAAACAGTATAAGCAGGACTCCAGAGGAAGCCAGGCAAGATCACACACTGACTGATGAACCACTTTGGGATCTATTCTAAGTTGCCTTCCCTTATAAACTACAAGTTCAAGACCAGAGGAGGATCACCAGCAGCGACTGCAGTGGCTAGCATACATTATGTCCCAAATGTTTGCTAAAATAAATGACCATAAAGATATCAAATAATTTCTCCATATATACATGGAAGGGGATTTTAAAAGTCTTTTGGACTAAATTAGAACAATAATCACAGGAAGAGATAAAAATTTGCCTTATCTACAAGAGAATATATGTATTAGTTTTCCAAGTAATGTGATACATTAGAAAATAAGCTTGATACTTTTTGAGTCAAAGTTCCCATCCCCTTTCTACAGTACTTCCTTCATGTGAAACAAGCCAGGTCCCCAACTGGTATGCAAAAATAGGGTATGGAACAATTGGTGTTAGCCCACAAAGGAGTAACTCTTTAATTCCATGTAATTTCCGATCATAAATTTTCTAATATTTTCGTAAACTGGCTGAAGGGTGCTTTCTTTCTAGACAGAATATTTTGTTCTAAATTTTAGCAGCTCACGTAAGGTTTTCTAGAAATGGCAAATCTGTAATAACAGAGCAAAAGGAAAGGAGGGACTTTGGGGGGGGGAAAGGAACCATCTTAGTATGTCTGCAGGACAGTCTACAAGCCTGTAAAGTTTAGAATAAAGAAACACTTACCTCAAGGCGTTTCTAGCACAAGGAAAATGTCAAACTAAAACAGAGATCAGTAGGAAACATAATCACTAAGAGGATCCAGTTTAGATTAGCCAGCAAATGCCTAAGAAAAAAGGACTTAAATAAAGTAACAATAATTTAGAAGGTGGAAGAAGTTCTTTCAGATGGATCAGACGACTTCTGCCAGTATGATCGGGGATGTGGAAAAATTAAGAACGGTTCAGAGAAAAAGAGATGTATTTTACTAGAGCAGAAAACACTGACAAAAAAAAAAAATTTCAGGGGATCTCATAACTAAAATCCCCTAATTCCAAGATGAGGAAAAAGGAGACCCAAGAAAGCCAAACAAGTTTTACATAAAGCTGATGAGCGGCAACGCTGGCAAAGAGCTCAGGTCTTCTGATTCTTTCATTAAGCACTCTGGGAAAGCACTGTACTAGGTGTCTTTAAAGATTCCAAAAGAAATACACATAAGTTTCTCTTCTTTAAAGAGCTGAGAATGTTGCTTAAGTGATATGACACACACACACACACACACACAAGAAAGCAAAAAGAAAACATAAAAACAGATGCAAATTAGTTTTAAGTGCCAAATTATGATCTAAAAAATACATGAGGCATTTAGGAAGCTGAGCTAACAACTAAAAGGGAAATTAAAAACAAAAACAGGGACCCAAAATCACATCAGTGATTGTAGAAATGGTGCTTGAATGACTACGATGCTGCTGATGTCTTCAGAAAGGCATGACATATCCGGGAAGAGTGGGGAGGAATTAATGACTCTAAGAAAAAAACTTTAAAAGATATACTGACCTGAATAACCACGAAAATGAAAATAAAAGGGCAGATCAGGAAGCTCATGTTTGCAAAATTACTTTGAATTACAAAAGGACCGGTTACAATACCTAACAACAAGTTGCACAAGTTCCAAGCACAAGAAGTTTACATGGTAGGTTTGGTTCATTGATTTCTACCAACACAACCACTGACTGAGCTGTACTTACAAAAACAAAGCCACAGAATGAAAGAATTCTATTTTCCAGCCAATTGTGAACTTTGAACCTATCTTTTTTTTTTTCTTTCAGGAGTGCTGGTTGGTTTTAAACCTCAAGTTACCAATCAACTACATGAAACTCCAGTGTCCAAAGATAGGATAAACTATTCTGAAAATACCCTCCGCACAAGTTCTACTTGCCAACCAGAGTCAGTATATTTACAAGATCTCACTCACCACTTTACCCCTCAGATGCTTTCCTGACTTGGCTGCCTCCAGTTCCAACCGCAAGTACTTTACCAAAATATCCTCAAGTCAGGAACAGTATCTTAAAGTCAATGATATCCTTCATCATCCCATCGTGCCAGAATCCTAACACAGCTCCCTGAGATAATTACATGTAAAGACCCCAAATCTCCAGCTGAATAACAACTATTTGGGAAAATGACTTGTTAGTAGAATTTTAAATGCCTTACCAAAAGCTTCAGATTCACACATGGAAAAAAAAAAAAAAAGCTGGTGCTGATTTGCATTCTCTATGATGATCCTCATCATAATATAATTAAAAAACCCTACAGACCAGGAATTAAAAATAGCTTCACACAAACAAGAGCAAAATTGTAGGTTTTGCTGAGGGCATCAGCCACTTAATTTAAACCCCACTCGATCAGGAGCAGGACCGCTGCTGTAGTCATCAGAGTTACCAGGAAACAAGATAACGAAGACATTGGGCAGAGAGGACTGTAGAGTCGAAACGAATATTTTGATGCAATTACTGAAAACGCCCGATGTGTCACTCCGAAAAAGCACCTAGGGCTGCCTCAAAATGAGTTCTATGTACAACTGAGTCAGTGGTTGAAGCGGAGAAAACACTCTGGAGCCTGGGTTGTTTTTTCCCCTTCTCCCCACCCCCCTCCCCTGGCCCCCACCTAAACAGGAAAGAACACGCGCCCAGCATAAACACAGGCCACAGCTCGGTTTGTCACCACAACAAACTGGAGGTTAGACAGGCGCTCCTGGAGACGGAGCTAGCTCGGGTCGGGGCTGCTGGGCCCCCAAGTGGCCCCTCTCCCCCCCAAAACAGTGAACGGCATGGGCCTTACCCACGAGTTGTGGTTGTTTCCTCACCTTTTTTTTCTTTTCCTTTTTTCTTTTTTTTTTTTTTTTTTTTAATTTAACGAAAGCTTTGGGAAAGTGGCGACAGCAAAAGTTTCCCTTTGGGCCAGACCTCTAGCTCTGCCTCGCACAGACAGACTTTAGGTGGGCTGGTCCCGCGGAGGCTCCACCATCATTACAAATTACCAACCTGACGATTAAAAAGCATTAGTGGAGGGCGCAGGACGGCTTCCACACCCACCCCGCACGCTCCCCCTTTCCAGACACCGCTTCCTGGCCCCCCCAAAACACACACACACACACACACACACAGAGGCGCACCCCGGGAACCAGCCCGACCCCGGGGCGGCCCCGGCGGGGCGCGGAGACCCTGTCATTTGAGGACAGCACCACGCCCAGGCGGGAAGTGGCAGGAGACGGGGGGAGCTTCCCCGAAAACAGCCCCGAGCGCCCCGCTCTTGTGGGGTCGCGACCCCCCTGGCGCCGCGAGCGGCCGGGGCGCAGGACCGGGCGCCGGGCCCCGGGCGGGGACCCGCCGGCGGAGGCGCCCCCCGCAGGCCGGCGCCCTGGGAGCCCGCGGCCAGCCCGGCCCCGCCTCGGGGGCGCAGGGAGGTCGCCCCCCGCCCCGCCCGCACTCACCGCCGGTGTGTCGGGGGCTCAGCCGCGAGCTGGGGCTGCCGAGAGGAGGCGGCGGAGGAGACGAGATCCGGGGCCCCACCGCCGGGTCATCATACCCCCCGCGCGAGCCGGCCCGGGCCCCGGCCCCCGCCCCCCGGAGCCGCCCCGCGCCCGTCCCGCGGGGGGAGCCCCCTCAGCCTCCCGCCCGCGCCGCCCCCGGCCCCAGGCCGCCGCCGCCGCCGCCTCGGCCCCGCGCGCTCCCGCCTCGGCCTCCCGCTGCCGTCCGGGGCCACCGCCGGGCCCCTCACTCCGCAGCCGCCGTTGTCGCCAGGCCCGACGAGCCGAGCGCCGAGCGGCCGCCCCCATCCGCCCGGCCCCGCCTCGCAGGAACTGCTCGCCCGCCCCGCGCCATGACACCTACTGAGGCGGAAGTGCGGCGCGCGCGGCGGTCAGCGCGACTGCATGGTGCCGGGGGGAGGGGTGGGCGCGGGAGTGGGGCGCGGGGGGCCGCCGTGGGGAGCCAGGGTGGGGCGGGTGCCGCGGGGGGTGGGCCGCCCCGTCCTCAAGGCCGACTCCGCGGAGATTTTAAGGTGCTGGTGGCGGGGGGTCCAGCTGTAAGGTGTTACCCTGCCAGTGTGACATCACCGCCCAGTGTGACACCCGCCCCCGCAGAGGCCGCGCCGGGCCGCGCCGCGCCGGGCTGAGCCGCGAAGCCCCACGCGGGGCAGGATCCCCGCCGTTTACGCTTTGATTCATTGACGTCTGGAGGGACCTCCGTGTGCGGGATCTGTTGGTCCCCAAGACTCTAGCCCAGAGACCCCGAGAGGGCTCTGCTGCCGCCGCCTGGGAAGCCTGTGATTGTGTTTGCAAGTGAGAAGCTAGGCGTGCTCTGAACCCAGCTCCTGAGAACCAGCGATGAGCAAATGCTGCCGTCATTTTCTTGCCTTTTCCAGCTGATAGTAAGGCTGGGTAATCAAGAATGTCTTGTGCACACAACTTCTGGGAAAGTGGATACGGCGTGGAAACTAGGGTATCCTAATAGGCAGTTGCTATCTCGCACTGTCAAGAAGGTCAAGAGGTTGTGTAGACCGTCGGATGTACCTCCCACCGCGTAAAATGTTCTGATTTCTAAAGTGAGAGGTGTTTTTAAGATGACAGTAGTATAATCTGTTTTTTCCAGGCCGCAAGTACTATGATCAGCCCTAGAAAGTGACCGTCCCGCACCCTGGGTATTTGCATGTACTCTTTGAGGAGGACCACAGATGTGGCTAAGATAGGACTCTGCTACCTAGTTATATTTTTCAGATCTTGCTTCGTTTTACATGCTTGACCTCTTTGGTGATCCTCTTTGGATCACCATCTCCTCACCAATAAAAGATCATTTTTGTGAAGATGTGCTGAAGTGGTTATATTACCTTTGGGTTTCTCTCCTGACTCAACAGCATTGGGAGCAGTTTTGTTTTATTGGGAACAGGAAAGTTTATTTCCCTAGAGGACAAGGGTTAACAAAAGTGTTCAGTCCCACAGGGCAGTTTTGTTCCTTATTTTCACAGAAACTTAGAGAACATAAAGTCCTACATTGGACTGACCTGGAAAACATCAAGACAAAGAGAGTGGGTGAACATGCCTGCCTGGGGAGCCAGGAAAAACAGCAGAAGCTGATCTCTAAAGGTAAAACAGATCCTGTTCAAAAAGACTGCTTTAAACACACTTAACTGCATATCATGCTTTGGTTCAGCCCAACTTGATGTCTTGCTTCTAAACAACTCTTTTTCCAAGTCCCTTTTCTCTTTTCAAAATGTTTCAAAATTCTCCTTAAGGGAGCTGTTCCTGATTGACCCCCACTTTATTCTAATTGTTCAGTTCTATGTCGTCGTCTGACTACTTAATTTACTTCTTTATAAGTTATTTATTTATAGTTGTTGATCTCTGTATTTTCACTTTTCTTAGATCATTTTCTTGGTCTCTCACTACATAGAAATCATCATTAAATATAGTATTTTCCCCTCTCTGGTATCGTTCTTCCATCCAACAAATTGCTTGTGTGCATGCTCTATACCAGGCACTCTCCTAGACACTAAATCAGATGCAGGATGAATAAGACAGATAGTTTGCTGTCTAGATGGGGGGGAAATGCATGGAGTTATGTATGATGAGACTTTAATGATGGAATCAGGGAAGACTTTCAAAGATGGTATTTGAGCATTGTATGGTCAGAGAAGTTTCCAAGTTTCGTGTACCTGAAGTTCATGTGTCCATTCTTCAAATATCTGTTGAGAATCTTCTGTGTACCAGACACTATGTTGGAAATTAAAGATACAAAGAAGGACCCCCCTGGTGGCGCAAAGGATTAACACGCAACCTATGAAGCTATCCGCAGCCACTGCAGCATGAGTTCGATTCCCAGCTAGAGAGCTGCCCACATGGCACAGCACACCTCTCCTGACTCTCCCACTGCTCCCTTCAGCAGTGTACTTCAGTCAATCTGCCTGTTCTGCTCCCCACTCTGTCTCTGGTGACTCCTCTCATCCCCCTCACCCTCTCACCTCTGGCCTGTACCACAGTTCTTGTATGCATAAATAAATAAATCTTTTAAAAAAATAAAGATACAAAGATGAAAAAACAGGATCCATTCCCTGAGGGAGCTTTTAGTGCAGCAGAGAGGCTGCAGAATATGGAATTAGTAAAGTAGGTTGAGTCAGATTTTGAAAAGCAATGAAGAACTATTAGAGATTTAATCAGACAGGTAATGTGAAGGAATCTGTGCTTTAAAGAGAGAACTCGTGGCAGTGAGGGCGATAACTGAGCAAAGTGGATGAAGACTAGAAACAGCCTAATAAGAGAACTTGGAAGAGGCTTTGATCAAGTAGGGGAACATGAGAGAAGGTGAACAGTTTCTTCCCGGACAACTCAGGGCAGCCAGAGAGGGAGACAGAGCAGTCGCAAATCCTGTATGATACCCCTTCCGGGTCTAGAGCCTACGTTCAGTGTTGCAGGCAAAAGGCACTTGCTCAGAAGCTTCAGTGCTTAAGGCCTAGAAGCTGAATCAACAAGCTAGGCAAACTATAGAAGTGGTGAAGCCAAGGGGCTAGAAAGAAAAGGAGAATTCAAGTAGAAGCCAACATATTGGAAAACCATGAGTGAAGATCTAAAATCAAGTCATAGAAAATCCCTTTTAAAATCTAATAACATCCTTCTTACCATTTTCTCCCCATCCAGTATGTACAAGACCCAGCTTACAGTCATATTTTGCACTTGATTGTCATGTCTCTAGTCTCCTTTAAAACAGTTCCTTAGCTCTTTAATATTTTGAAGAATATAGGCCATATTTTTAATAATTGAATATGATTATTAACCTGTTATAACAGGTGTTTGGTTTGTTTGTCTCCTGTTTATTCATGACTAGATTCAGGTTATCCATCCCTGGCCAGAATGCTACATTAATGATCTACTTTCCCAGGATATCATACCCAAAGGCAGATGAAGTCTCTGTTCCTCATTGGGTGACAATTTTAATCACTTTGACCAGGGGTCTAATTTCTCCACTGTATATTTACTATTTTTTCCTTGTAATAATAAAGAATCTGTGGAAAGAAACCTTAGATCATGCAAATATTCTGCTTCCCATTAAACATGCTCCCACAGATTTAATATCCATCAATGATTCTTGCCTATACCACGTCTCCCTTATCTCTTATTACTTAATTAACCATGAAGTTGTTTGTTCCTTAATGATACAGACTCATGGACTACTGTGTTTTTCAATGGTTTATAATTCCTTACTGTCCTTAATGATTTTGGTGCTAAAATTGCCCACATTTAGCCTGCAGTGGCCTTTTCAAGCTCCTTTGTTTTTGTTTTTTAACATGTCTCCATGCTTTGAACTGATCTTGTCCTTCAAGACCAGCCCTAGAATCAGTCATTTCTCTGAGTCCTAGTTCCTTTTATAGTGAATTGTATTAGAAAACAGATTTGGGCTCTAAGTCCACATTGATGTCTTATAGGATGCTTGTGACCTTGGGTGTGAATGTCAACCCTAGTGGACAGTTTCTGCATTGCAAGAATGAGGTACCTTCCAAAGCTCATTTATGGTGGATTTTTCCCTTCCAAGGCTCATTTATGGTGGTGGTAGCAAAGGGGAATGTGGCAGGCATTGTTCATTGACTGTTCAATGAATAGTTAGGGTTAACCACCCCTGTGTACCAAACAACCCCCATAGCTCAGTGACTTAACACAATTAAGTTTTATTGCTTGCTCATAGCATCAGTCTATTTCAGGTAACGATTTCAGGTAACTTTGCAGTACTAGGGGTTAGAGGGTTACTCAGCTCCATGAAGTCCTTCAGGGATACAGGCACCTTCCAACCAGAGTCTTGTGTCTTCTCCATTCTTTGCTTGGATTTCTCTATTGGATTCTTTGCCTCTGTCCAGAAAAAAAGGACTAGAAAATATGGATGATTGTGTGGGAAGTTTTTATAGGCCAGGCCTGGAGGTAACAAACACATACACCCACTCTGCACACATTACTTTGTTGGGAACTCAGCAACTGGATGCTGCTAGCTCCAGAGAGGCTAGAGGATGATGCAATCTAGCTATGTGCCCAGGAGATTTGATTTCAAAATAATTAAGTCAGTCTCTCTCATACTTATTCAAAAGTCATTTCCTGTATTATTTCTTCCTTATTAATATAATACCAGTTTTATTCAGATAAGAAGGAGGATTCTTTGGTTCCAAGAACTGTAAGGTCTTTCTTCCAAATCAGGGAATAAATTACAATTGATCTAAACCAATCCTATTGATCCCATTTCTTTATTTTTTTAAAGAAACTGTTTATTTTCCATCAACCTTATTTTCATTTTCTGTAGAAGAGTCTGTTGAAGAATAGCCCATGCCTCTTTGCCAATGATAGGTCTAGGGATGGACAGAAGACTTAGTTCTGATTACTGAAATATGAAAAGTCTGCTTAAAGGCTCCTGGAAATTTTTTCTCGATATATAAAAAAACACCTTGAGAAGTAGAAATTCTTTTACTCTTGCCTCTGTCTTCTTTCTGAAACAAAGAAATGAATATACAAGGCCTGGCCTTCTTGTGACCACAAATGCAACAGCATAGATAAAGACAAAAAGGGGTCTCCCTGGTAGCCCAAGGGTTAAGTCTCAGCACTACCAAGCTATTGCCAGCCACTGTAGCATGAGTTTGACCCTTGGCCAGGGAACTGACCCACATGGTGCATCAGACCTCTCCTGTCTCTCCTGCTGCTCCCCTCCAGTGTATTTCAGTCAATCTGCCTGTTCTTCTCCCCACTCTGTCTCTGGGAAATCCTCTCACACACCCCCACCCCATACCTCTGGCCTACACCCCAGTTCTTGCGTGCATGCATAAATAAAATATATCTTTTAAAAAAAAAAAAAGACACACAGTCACATGCTGAGTACAGCAGAGGACACGGATAGAAAGAGTGTGTCTTTGATGACGTGCCTGAACTCAGAGAACCTGAAACTGCCCACTTCTGGACTTTAAGTAAATAAATATTCTTAGGTTTAAAGCTACTGTTAAGACATTTTTCTGTTATTTGCAGCCACAACCAGTCTTGACTGAAACAGGAGAGAATGAAGAGGTTTCCTGGCAGAAGATACTCATGTGTAGTGTCCAGAGGTTCTGAGATAAAAAGGAGAATAGGGTTGAAGAGTGCTAGTGGACTTGGCATTAGAAGGGCCACTGTTGATCTTGGTGAGAGCAATTTGAATGGCAGAGTGGTGGCAGAAGTGATGTGTTTCCTACATAGGATTTTTCATAGTATGAGCGGTGACTGGCAAACTGGGAAGTGTGGTTTGGTTTGCCTGGATAACGGAATCTGTTCTGGTCAGTTCTCATGTTCAACTCTCTGCAACCAAAGAAGCTGCCTGGGTCTGTGCCATCCTCTTCAGCTACTTCTAAGGAGCCATGATCTGAGTGACTGACTGCTCTGTCACTCCTCACAGGAATAAGTTGTTCTTGCCCCTTAAATGGTTTCATGAATGACAAATCTAACATGCATGGTTGGGATTAGAATAGGACTTTTTTCCCCCATTTCTTCCAAGATTTAGTGACTGTAATAAATATCAGGTACTGAGTTGGCCAGAACAAAAAGATGAATTAAGCACATTCCCTGTCCTCAAGGGTCTCAAAAGCTAAGTTAAAGAGATGAATTAGGAATAATGATCACAAGTCTGTGAGGTTGGCCTTCACACCATATAACAAGCGCTGAGCAACCTAAGACAACTGTCTGGTGGTTACTATGGAAGCCTCTAGGTGTCTCAATTGACCGAGTAGGAATGTAAAGAAGATGGTACTGGACCAACAGTGAGATGCTTTTTGTTTTTGTTTTTTTTAAGATTTATTTTATTTATACAAGAACTGGGGTATAGGCCAGAGGCACGGGAGGGTGAGAGAATTCACTAGAGACAGAGTGGGGAGCAGAACAGGGGAGCAGATGACCAAAAACACAGCGGGCAAGACAGGAGAGGTCTGCCGCGCCATGTGGGTATCTCCCTGGCCGGCAGGGAATCGAACCCACACTGCAGAGGCTGCAGATAGCTTCATAGAGCGGCACTCAACCCGCTGCGTCATGGGGAGGCCCCTGCTTTTCGTTTTTAGTAATTCAATTTTTCATGCATAATATGAACAAAATAAATACAGATATCGCCTACTTCCTGAAAGTCCACATTATGCCAATTGGCTTTCATGAAAGGCCTACCTCAGTATTTGCTTGTGCTCACTGAAAGAAATCCAAAGAGGATTTTTGCTTTTACAACAAAAGGTGAAAGGTAAAACTCACTTGTTCAGCATTTGTTTTACAGCAGCCATTCTAGAGGCAGCCAATCCAAACAGCCGAAGTGACCCCAGTAACCTCTTCCCCTCCCCAACACCCCCACCCCCACACTATTTTACACAGGCCGTGTATTTATGTCCCTTCCTTCCTTCCTTTCTTCCTTCCTTCCTTCTTTCATTTAGGGAAAGAAAAAGTTTATTGAGGAGAAAAGGAACAGAAATAAAGTGGGACTCCCAGGTTGGTGGAACCAGGCCAGGGAGGGGCACAGGAGCCATTTTTGCTTTAACTGTATGTTAATTTTTTAAGTGTTTTTTGGTTTTTTTTTTTACTATATGTTGATTTTTTTTTTAAAAGTGTGATTTGATTATTTGGGGGATCTGGGAAAGCTGGAAGTTTTTTAACATAAATCAATAGTAATTGCTTCTTCACTTTCTGCCATTTCACCTATTTGTGGATAGGCTCTATTTGTGGATAGCAGGATTCTGCCATTTCGCCTTCCGAAGGTTCCATAGGAAGGCTCTATTTGTGGATAGCAGGAAGAACCTGTTTGCCCTTATATTATCACACATGAGGGACATGAGCTCTTAAGAATGACACGTACTTCCTGGGGAAAACTGGTTCTGAGTCGATGCTAAGCTGCCAGAGAGCTGTGAGATTGTACATAAACGCAGGAAGGAGATGAGTTTATAGAACTGAGAAGCAAAGAGTCCGTGTATGTTAGGAGCACTCCCAGGAAAATCAGCCAAGTGAGTCCTCCCCTTTTCCTGGCAAAGGCTCCTCCTCTGTGTTGTGAACTGGCTTAGTCTCCTCACTGCCTCGCTCCTACCTGCTCCTCCCCACCAAAGCAGACCTGGCTGTTGGGCTGAACAGTGTGGTATGTGATTGTGGATGGAAATCTAACTTGCCTGCCCTCAAGTCCCACTCTTGCTAGTTTTGATTGTCGCATCAGAATAGGACAGTTTGGGGACTGGGTCCCAGCAGAAATGATGACTTTGGTGGGATGAGAGTTTGAAGAAAGGCCATGCCTGTAAAAGTAAATACACAATTAAAAAAAAAAAAAAAAGAAGACCCAATTCAGGCTGAATTTGGCAATGCTTTGTTGTCCAAAGATCAGGACTAATATTTTCCATTAAATCTTACAGTTAAAACTTCATAATAATTGAAATAAAAGCATAAGTATTCTCTGATAAATGAAATATTTTTACTGAAGTGTCCTAGTCTCTCAGGAAATGTAACCTCTAACCCCAAGGCCTGTGTTGACTCCAAAGCAAGTAAAACATGTTTTTTCCTCTCAAGTACATAGTTATAAAACATGCCTGTTAGGGAATAGTGTTAATTCATAAAATATTCCAGTTATTTGTATTGTAAATAAACACTTATTTTATTCTTCTTCATTTCCCCAAATATGTGTTTCTATATAATATGTGTGGATACACACCCACACCCCCACACCCCCACACACATGCACACACAGTTATATATATAATATATACATTTTTGTGAAAGTTTTGGTGGAAGAAAATTATACCTTTCTCCCTGCAGCTGCTTGTGTGAAAGCGGTAACCAACAGAATTGTACCCAAACACATACAGAGCCCTTTCTTCCCAAAATCCCGATTCAGTTCACCAGTATTTCTCATCACTGCAAGAGCCTGCTAAGTAGCATTCCTGTTTTCGTTTTGGTCCCATCATCCACCTATTTCTTTTTAGACTATACATCAGGTCAACTTATTCCCCCACTTTGAAGAACTCCAATAGCTTCCTATTCCATTAAAACTAAAACTCAAACTTCTTGGGCCTCCCTGGTGACGCAAAGGGTTAAGTACAGCATTATGAAGCAATACACAGCCACTGCAGCACTAGTTTGATTCCCAGTCGGCCAGGGAGCAACCCACATGGTGCAGCAGACCTCTCCTTTCTCACCCACAGCTCCCCTCAGCAGTGTACCTCGATCAGTCTCTGGTGAATCCTCTCTCCGCCCCCGACCCCGCATCTCCGGCCTGTACCCCAGCTCTTGTATGCATAAATAAATAAATCTTTTTAAAAAATTAAAAAAAAAAACCCCAAATTTCTTACTGTAACCTACAAGTCACTTCTGAGACAACATGTGCTTCCCTCTCTGAGCTCACGTCTACCTCATCTTCCCCCAACACATGATCTTCCTGATGTTCTTTGGGCACAGAGCTTATTCCCAGTGGGCTACACCAATGGCACCCCTAATCTTTACCTGGCTGGCTCCTTTCGTCTCATCTTCAGTGTCAGTTCCAGAGAGACACCTTCCTAGACTGTATCTAGCTGCTCCCCATCCCCAATATCCAGTTTTATCTTCCCCTTAGCACTGTGTGTGTTTATGTGTAGTGTATATGTCCTTTGGAATATAAGTTCCAAGTGGGCAGGACATTTTTTGTCTTGTTATTGATTATTTTATATCCCTAATGTCTAGAACACATGCTTTGCACTTGGTGGGTATTGAATAAATATTTGGTGGATGAACAATTAAATAAATCAGTTTATGGACACTAGTTTCTCATAATTGCAAGATATAGAGATTATATTTATAAAGGGTCTGCCAAACTAAGCTTCAGTAGTTCAGTCCTGGGGAGCTAAGAGCTCTACTTTATTTCCTGATTGAGAGAAATAGTATTTATTGAGGGAGGATTCCCTAAAGGATGTGCAATCCATCATTCCTTCAGATTTATTCATTGACTCATTCTAGCAAAGATTATTATTAAAAACCTATTTTGTATTCTGGACAGTGGGGATGCAACAGTGAGCAAAACAGACTAAAAAAAAAAAAAGTCCTGGAGTTCACATTCTAGTACAGTGAGACACAAGCTAACCTCAATAAATAAATGATATTCTGTGTAATACAAAGTAAAACTCAAAATCAACAAGCAACTATAAACCAGAGACACATTACGGGGTGGGGGAGGTGTGGGGAGAGGAAGGATTAGGGTCAAAATAAGGGGGGATGCAATTGTATGGGGAATATAACCAAAATGAAAATCCATACATTGTGCAAATATGAAAAATGATGTAAGAATTATATATAATAAAATATTTTTTAAAAAGTGGTCAGAGGGCCTTGCTGGTGGTACAGGGGTTAAAATCTCAGTGCAATCAAGCTATCACCAGCCACTGCAACATGAGTTCAATCCCAGCCAGGGAGCTGACCCACATGCGCAGCAGACCTCTCCTATCTTGCCTGCTGCTCCCCTCAGCAGTGTATTTCAGTAGATCTGCCTGTTCTGCTCCCCACTCTGTCTCTGGTGAATCCTCTCACCCCCCCCCACATCTCTGGGTTACACCCCCATTCTTGTATGCATAAATAAATAAAAATAAATCTTTTGGAAAAAAAAAGTGGTAAGAGCCCCATGGAGAAAAATTAAGGAAGGGCAGGTGGTGGTTGCAATTTTACATAAGATAAACAAGAATAGCGTCACTGGGCAAGAACTTGAAGGAAGTGGGGAAGCCAGGTGGGTATCTAGGTGAAAATCTCTGTGTTTACTGGGTACATTGCAGTAACTGCAAGAGGGCCAGTGTCCCCGGAGGATAGAAAACGAGGTGTGAGAGATGGCGGGAGGTTGTGTGAGTAAGGCAGACCACTATAAGAGCTTGGGTTTTTCCTCAAAGTGAGCTGGAAAGTCACTGGAGGATTTGAGCTGAGAAGTAAAATGATCTATGTACTGCCTGCTGTGGGGATTACACAATATATTAGGAGACCGGAGGGGTCAATGTTGGGAGCAAAGAGGACATATAAGAGGTTATTGTCATAACTTAGACAAGAGACAAAGGTTGCTTGGATAAAAGTAAGAGAGGTGAAGATGGTGAAAGGACAATTTGAAGTATGTTTCAAGGTGGAGTTAACAGGATTTATTGGTATACAATAGTGTAGGTGGGAGGGGAAAGCCATGAAAGAGAGAAGAGGAAACCAAGCCTACTAGAAAAACAGAAGAGGATTGCTCAGTGGTAAGGAAGCCATTTGGATGTATGATAATGATGTATGAGATCATGAATCTAAAATGAAGCCAGTCAACTGGTTGGATTTCACCAGTGTCCCAGCTGCTCCAGCGCTGGCAATGTGTAGATAGATAGTATGATTTATCCAGATTGGAGTTTTCAAGGCAAGTATCTACATGAGAAGACAGCAAGGGAGTGATATTAAACTGATGAATCACAGGATTCAACCGGGTCAATGTGGGAAGAGAAGCTTGGAGAGGGTTTATGAATAGTAAACTACCAGCACTGGAGATACTTGAGCAAATAACCTGGAGAAATGAAGGTTCAGCATTGAGATTTCAGATGCGTAATTTCTGGCAAAGACAGGATGGTGAGGTACAGGGAAATAAGATCTCTGGACAGGAGAAGAAGGAAACCGAGAAGCCAGAATACTGAAGTCGTTCAGAAGGAAGACAGTGTTCTACAGGAGCAGAAAACTAAATCAGTGACTCAGTCTTGCTAAATGAAGAGGGGGAGAGGATGCTGTAGCTGGTGGCAGACACTTCAAAAGGAGAGATTTTCCCAGGAAAGAATGGT